TTGGTCGCAATATCTTTCCGCAATGTTCCACGCAATCTACCAAGAAACTGCTATGCAGAAGAATACCTAGCCACCTTGTCTGAGCTTGATGTCAAACTTCTAAATCCCAAGCCACCAATAGATTTTCAGAAGTTATTGTCCTTGACCAAAGTTTCGTGTAAGTAAATCATCTTCTTATTGCACCCTAATTTAACATGTTACTCATAAGAAGCTGTGCACACTCATAATCCTCATTTCCATGCGATGGTACACTCAGCCTGAAATTCAAAGTCAAGTACGTCCCAAAGAATACGTCAACTACTCCATGTATGGATACAGAGAGACCATTGAATTCTTACATTGCCAATTCCCCTTTCCTACTTTTTACCTGATGTATATTCATTTCCAGACTGCCTTGCACATAGTATCGGTATACATGAACCTCGTTTGTCTGTCCAAGGCGATAGAGACGATCTACAGCTTGATTTTCCATGGCCGGATTCCAATTCGGTTCCTTGAACATCAAAATTCTTATCAGCATATTCAGTTACACAGAAGAAATGATTCCTCCTTACCATCATGTACACATTTTGTGCACACCTCAAATCAATTCCTACCCCCGCCGCTTGTATTGAGCCTAGAAGAATGTTGCAGTTGGGATCTGTTCGAAATCTAGCCAGGTTCTCATCTCGTTTTGCTATACCTAAGGTCCCTATAAGCCATGTGCAACCCATTTGTTTCTCTTTGAGTGCCTTTTCAATTCTTCATCATGCCATACCTCATCAGTCTTTATTTAGCCTCTTTGACAAAATCTCCAATGAAGAATATCACTCACATCTCAAGAAAAGCCACAAAGCTCGAGAATACTACTGCTTTGGGCCTTAAAATCCCCCTTCCACCCCGCAAGAATCGCTCCAGGTTATCCACAAGATGGACCAGTTTTGCGGAGTCTTGCCATCGCCAGTTCTTTTGGTGAGGAATTTCGTCACGTGCAAAAATCGGATGATTGCAGAACTGCCGTATCATTGTCAGCTGTTTGAAAAATTCAGTCGAATCCCATGGCTCGCCAGATGATCGAAGCCGTCCAAAGTACTGAATGAATGATTGGTGAAACCCTCTTGAGAAATCATCCCATGGGCCACCCAAGCTCACAACAACCACGTTTTCTATCTTGGAAGGCAAATTCAAGAGCACATCCTTCGTCCTCCTCAAGCATACAGTTTCCATTAAGCGGTTCAACGTCTGAATGGCTTCTTGGGATCCAACGTTAATTCCAGGTATAAGGTGTGACTTCCAGATCCACTCCTGGTTCCAAGGCCAAATCTTCAATAGAAATATCAAGCTTTGGACATCGGTGAGTCGATTCTGGAATGGGGTTCCCGTCAGGCATAAGATAAATCTTGACTTCAGCTTTTGAATGTTCAAAGTCCTGTTGGCTGTTGGGTTACGAATCATACTACATGATTTGTAATGTCAGACTCGTTATTAACTGATAACTCAATACATGCACCAGGTTATTGTTACTTACTGAGCCTCATCCAATACAATTCTGAACCAACAGATATCCAGGGATTCAATGGTTATTTGATTGGTATGCAGTGGGTTTCCAGATGTTCCAACCATCTCGTAGGTTGTCAAAACAACAAGCGATGACAATAGCGATCCTCTGTCAATTCTTCCTCGGTCTCTTCCATGAAAGATACAGTAAGGTAAGGCTCCCCCGTCAAAGTGAATCTTGATCTCATTTTCCCAGTTTGACAAGGTTGCTAACGGACAAATAATCAGAGTGGCTGAAGATCGAACTAGATGGTTGTCGGAACCGCTCATCTGGAATCGGTTTGCCAAATGAGATGTTGCCAGAACTAACGCAAGGCTGGTTAACGTTTTTCCTAAGCCCATGTCATCAGCAAGTATGGATCCTCGGCTAGTAAATTGGTCTGTTTCGTCAAGTCGTAGTTCAGAAGGGTTACTACATCGTCGTATCCAACTATTGATGGGGTGGTTCCACAAGTCTTCAATTGTGTTTTGTTGGGTAGACTCGTTTCTCTTGAGGAAATTTAGAGCTGTGTATTGGTGGTCTTTCAAGGTGGTTACACAGTTTTTGAGAGTAGACCGAAAAGAATCATCCTCTTCTGGCGTGCTGGTGAGGGTTGGTGTAAACGATGTTTGGGGGATATTGAAAAAGAGGCTGGGATCGTAGTTCCAGATGGGAGAGAGATTGATTTGTGCCCGAGAGAAAGCTGATGAAATAGTGGCCTTGTTTGAGTCAAGACCAAATATGCATCCCCTCAGTTGAGGATCATTACAGGTTTTGGTAACAAGGAAAGCTCGAATCTTTATCAGGGATTTTTCAGAAGAGATCATTCCTTCTTCTGTTATTGGTGTTGAGCAGCTGCCCACCCGACCTAACAATGGACCAAGGAACTTGCTTTGAACTTCACTGAGATCTCCAACCAATCGTCTTGGGTAACACCACACATGCACTCGATCTGTTCCTCGTTGTAGGAAGGCCTGTTGTGGGTGATCAGGGAGGGAATCTGAGGTAGGAGAATGTAGACGTGTGACAAATTGACCCAGGCATAGTGTGTTTGACATGTTGGATAGAAAAATCAGTAGACCGATTTGAGGTTGTGAAGGATGTGGGGGTTGGAATAAGGATGGGATGGTTGTATTTGTTACCTTTCTCTTATCTAGAATTTGGAAAGTTTTTCGGAAACACCCTTTACAACAACTCACAAAACACAGCCTTTGGTGCTTATTTTAACTCACTCACATTTGCTGCAGGGCATTGCATGATATAGTCATGTAAGCTGGAAAGTTCGGTAAACAAACTCCAGCACCTGTTGGATTGGTTTGGCCAATCGGCCAACTGCTACATTTGGTCCACAGATCAATCCAATGGAATGAGTTCATCATTTGGCTTTCAATTATCATACTCTTTGGTCCACAGATCAATTCCAAAATGGAATGAGTTCATCATTTGGCTTTCAATTATCAATACTCTTTAGTATATAGACATTACCAAAAGGTTTAGGCATTGGCGAGGTCTGGTTTAAGCCACTAAACTTATGAAAGGTTGTGTGTACATGACAATCACAATGATATAGGGCATCTTGGCGAGGGCTGGTT